GTGGCTCGGTTTCCAGGTGTTATGCCCGGCTACCCGGCCAGGCGAGGCTGACGCCCCGGTTGGAATAGACGGGCCCAGAAACTAACCAACCCTCCCGTATACCCACGGAGCGATACGTCATCCCTGACAAGCCGGCGTGCCGATAACCTCCGTCTACGACAAACCCCCGTGTGTGTCCTCACACCTCATCGCGGCAACGGTCATCCATCATGTTTGAGTAATGTAGGGACACGATTCCACGTTATTGCGAATGACCGGCTACGTTTCTCGTTCCTCTATACCCGGCCGCGATTATCAGCCAAGAACCTCTGCTCCTTTATTAGTCGACATTATCGATTTCATATTCCATGCCTCTTATGATTCACCTTGCCCATTCGTAATACATTCGTAAAACATGCTCGACGAATTTTGAATCAATTCCCTTTTATAAATTATACTCTGCTTCCTTTGATTTGTAACGAGACAAGATAGAAGACACGATTTTCCACGATTGAAATTTAAAAAAGGAACTGATGTTTCACGTGCCAGTCTGGTAATAAGATAATGCTGTTACTCACCGTTATGAACGAGCAGAGCAGAGTCGCGGGCAACAGTGATCAGATCACTGTCGGTGAGGGTTTCGTCGGAAGCGTTGCCCGAGGTTGGTGTGTCGCTGAGGCCGGCGCCACTGTTGGGCATATGATACAGGGGATGCTGCTGTTGCTGCTGCTGCTGCTGCTGCTGTTGATAGGCACGTTGTTTATGCTGACTAGCGTTGTAGTGATTCAGGTGCGATTGCGTGGTCTGATGATTGTTTTGAGGATAGGCGGGAGGCGGGTGGCCTCGCAGGCTAGGCGAATTTTCCTCACCCTCGCTGCCGCTTAAACTATAGGCCGGATAGAGCCGTCCCTTCCCTGTAACAATTGTTCGAAATTGTTTCTGTAAACACGGGTTTTAATATTACATCGCGAACATATTAAGCCAATTAAGCAAAGGATGAGGGAGGGGTGTCGACCCTCCAGGTTTACTGATTACGTCAATTCGGATAGCGATCAAGGCGTTGCCCCTTTTTTAATAGGAATTAAAATTTTTAAATAGGAAATTTGATCTTCCTTTTGTCAGATATACAGCTATGAATTTTATTCGTAAAAACAACAATGTGTACGACGTATTATGTTTGGATGGAACAAAAGCGTTCCCTGATGGGTTATTGAATTTTATGAAATTTGATTACACCAGGTGTTTGATTAATACACAAATGGAATATAGATACAATTGTTTAATAAATGAAAGAAATCAATCAGAATGTAAATAAAAATGATTGATTTATTCCACGTTGAATTAATATTAATACGACACCCTGTTATCGCCAGTGTGTTTATTCTGTATTATTGCTGGATAGAAAATCGCTTGTACTTACGGAATTATTTTATTTTTCATTTAACATTCTTTAGTATACGTTCCCTATCCTAATTACTTTTGTGATATCCCCGGCATGCAGCACAGAATTCAGTCCGTTCGCGCGGCGTTCAATGAACGTAACTGACACTTTGTTGCGGCGAGGGGGAATCCGAGGGGACGATGCATGCCATCGGGTGGCATCATAAGAGAATACTAGAGCGGTGGTGTCCATTTACCAAAGACACAGGAACACGCGGCTGCATTAAGGCCTGGAGGGTTTCACCGGGAAGATGGCAAAACAATCCTAACGTCACGCACACTTGGACAAACACGAGGGAAACGCGAGACTTCCGGACGCGCGCAACCCTTGGGATAACGCTCCCAACCGAAAAATATTATTCCTCGGTACGTACGTATTCCAAGCGATATAAACTCAAGAAATAAACCTCGTAACCTGTATTTCAATTTAAAAATTATTGATCAAACCAATGATATTAATTAATAACAATTATACTGGTTTTCCTGTATTATATCGATTCTTCTTTTATGATCCCATTTATATGATAAAATGATTAATCTTTTATTACAAGTTCAACATGAATTGAAATGAACATTTTATTATATAGATAAGGGATCAGGTTTTTCGGTTCACGTCGGATTTGACATATGCTATATGACCTAGCCGTGTTTCTTCTACGTCGAAAAGACGATTCCCGCAGCATAGAGACTCTCACGAAGATTTCTACCGTCTTTTTTGTCGCGAAAATCGAGCGGGTAGGAGCGTGAAGAAGCGAGGCGACGGGTTTAAATCCCCGGCGAGAGGAGGAGGCTAATCGATCTCACGGGTGACCGCGAGTCGTCATCGCCGGGGCAAGGCCAAAGCGGAGCAGATGTTGTTAGGTGACGAGCGAGCAGGAAAACCGGTTTTTGACCAAGCCGCGTTAAAGACCATACACTGGATGTTCAAGGAAAGGAAAAAAGAGAAAAAAAAATGTAGAAAGCGACGTAGTGACGCGAACCGAGCGCTTCGGTTCAGGGTAAATCGCGCGAAAACTATGATCGATGCTGGCCGCCTTTGACCTTTGGCTTCGCCAGCGTCCGCGCTGCAGCAACGAGCCGTGTTATCGAGATATCGATAAACCGGGCTACCCGCTCCGAGTCCAGGCTTTTCTTTCCGCGCGTCGCTATCTTTAGCTGCTGTTCCACGGATCGATCCCGGCACGTACGAGGGAGGAAAAGAGCCGAGGGAGATTTGTTACTCCGCTTAATCGAACAACGACGACGACGACGACGACGTCTGTTAAGGTCATTGATTCCTTTTTTTTTTTCCTTTTCCTTCTCTCGCCGGTGGAACAGATGCTAAGTCCCTGGGCTAGTCGTGCATTATCGAACGACGGTGAAAAATCTTTTGAACTACAATTACCGCGGCGAATAGGCGCCGGCCGGGAGCTGAAAGGGACGTAAATTATTAATGAAGTTACCGGGAGCAAATGAAATTAGGCGTGCCCATCAGTGACGAGTTGCTCGACATTTAATTATGGTCTGCGTGTAATGCACCGAGTTTGTGACCGGGACCCCCCATGCCTCCTCCCCCTCCCCCCTCGATCGCCGCTCACCCGAAAACCGAGTTTTCAAATAAATTTTTTTCATCCCACGGCGACCTTCGCCGCTCGTAAAAGGGGAAGTCGGGGAATGATCATGGAATGGCATCGGACGGGATCGTTTGTAACTAGATTTAGACGCGCGTTACGTTAATGGAACGTAATCTATTAGCGCGGGCATCGACTATTAACCCGGTTGCTAATCGAGTCATCCGGTTCGATAGTGTCCGGCGTCTTCTGTTTTTTTCCCCGGTTCACCCTCCTCCAATTTGCATATCGTTACTTCACTTTCCGAAAGAACCTGAGACCTAATTTTGTTTATAGAAAAGCAGCGAAGTCGCATAGCTCGGTGAATAATTTTAATCTATAATTTAGGTTCTGCGACGTGAATTGTTATAAGTCTTGATCGTCGCAGTGGATTAGATCATCCGAGTTAATGCGATATATACTGCGCATTGGATTTAGTAAGTGTTCGGGCGAGCACGCGTAGGAGCGAGGCCATTTCGAAAACAGTGGCAACAATTCAGGGCAGTTTAAACGGTACGAAACGACTTCTAGGGAATCGAATCGAACGGCGATGGTCAGGAACGCATTTGGCGCCGGTAATAGCGCGAAAGTGGATTCGTTTAATTTGAATCGAACAGGAGGAGAAACGAACAAAGCTGGGGTTGGAAAGCGTCGCTGTGCGATGGCCGTGGGAAGACCGCGTATAGACGAGGCGTGAAACGATCTCTTCCACGCGGATGCGAATACTGGCCGACCAAACACTTTGTACTTTCCGGGTAGACACATACACGCGCATCATCTGTGATGTGTGTGTGTTCACGCACGCGAAGAGGCCGAGATTCTCGTCGAATTTCACGTGTATCCATAATACATTATCGAGTTACCATGGGGGAATATTGTGGCCACCGTAGAGACTCCCGCGGCCGCGATCGTATATCCAGACCGTTTATGCGCGCACGTGCGTGAAAGCTTGGAAATTTCTTCCTAACCTGCGTGGAACGTGGATTGTGTTAACCCACATAATTCCATCATCGTTCCCATGATACCGCAACTACGCGCGCCTACACGCGAGATTCTATAATTCCATTAACGGAGGACAATACCATTTCGCGCGGAACAAATTGCTCGGCGAAAGAAATTTATCAAGAACGAACGATATCGCCCTAGAATCGTTCGCCGTGGATATTAAATAACTCACGGGTAACGTTCGTAGTTTTATTTCTGTTTAAAAATAAAAGATTGAATCGGCTCTCGCAATATTTCATACATAATTCGGTCATCTATTAAAAATTCACCACCTGTTAAAAAAAAATTAATGCAACGTTTCTTCCCGGCGATGGTCAATTAATCGCGTTAATAAAATATGGGCTATCGACAGGCCATCGGAGGTGGTCATCCGCACTACCGTGGCTCCCTTCGGTTAAAAATATTTCAATATACGTGTACATATATTTTAGCGTACGTAGTAAATACGTATACGTGATTTTTCAATGTTATGAAACTACGACAGTTCCGTGCCATCAAATAAATTGCAGCCGGGCACGGCGAAAAAATTTTTCTCCGACAACAGAAAACTTTCCCGTTTTTCGCTGATATACGAGCCACGGCTATACGCTGCGATCCCCGCTATCTGCGATTTCAACGCCGCGCTAAACGCATTAAACTAATTTATCCACTTTCCAAAACTTATTCAACTAAAAAAAGTTGGTCTAAAATTTTTGTAAAGCGTTACCTTCGTATTATTATCGTCTTCATCTTAATTTAAAATTAAACTATAGTGACAGTGAGTTAATTGGCATGAAATATTACACATTCATATCAAATTTAATTCCAGCCAGGCTTAAAATAAAATTACCACCACCAATGCTCGTCAATTAATTCTGTAGATATTCTAGACTGAATCAAGAATTTTCACAACATCCTATACACCCAACAATTTCTAAAGAAAAAAACGTCTGTTATTTATTGAATACAGTTAGGAATTTTTAATATTGGCAAAAATTGCTAAGAAATTCTAAGCGAATTTCATTCGGTTCTTGATTCTCATTGGCTAGTTGGGATGCGCACGAGCTTCGTGTAATCATAAACTTGTCTAAGTTGAAGCGTGTACTATTTGTACCAGGAGTGGAAACACAGTACGGCGGGCGGATTATTATTGCCAGGACCACTTCGCGAAATGGGAAATGGTGTCGCGATGGTCCTTCGTCGCGCGAACGACGACGCGCATTGCGCTACATGCCTGGCCGCCGTTTCTCACAGCCTCACGAAATAACGTTGACCAGTCGATAACGATATATATCGCTATCACCTGATTATCTAATGCCGCTCCGGGGCGCAGACCTATGAAACATCGTAGAATGAGACGCGACACGGTAGGTACGGTATCGATTTTCCTCGGGTATACCACGTATCGATTTCCAATCCTCTCTGTGCATTCCGTCTATCAAATATGATGATATCGAATATAGAACATCAAAATAATAATAGTATATCTATTTGTATAAAATAATCGTATATACTCTTGTATAAAAATAATGACAAAGCATTCAAGCA